TTTTACTATGAACAAATTGCTCGAGAAAATTCAGATATTAAATGAATGAAAGTTCCATCGTTCAGTTTAACTGTAACCAAATACCTCACGTTTCAACTTTCTGGGTACTTTTTGTGAACGATTAAAATTAATTGCAGACGGTTTTTAGGCCGCTTGTCAACCAACGTAATGACACTATTGTTTATACAAATTCATTCTGAAACCAATATTTTTCTGTCAACCAAAGTGATTTGTTAGAGAGAAAAGGGAGGATTCATAAGTTATTTATCGGCTTGAGGTAGTGACCGACGTGTTTGCTTAAAAATACTGCCCAGCCGGAAAACGAGGTATATTTATGAAAAATGACAACGAAAGTTGGGATGTACTCGGAGACTCACGAAAGCGTTACCGTGGCCCGTGGGCAGAGATAGGAAAATACTGACCGGGTAAAGAACCAATCAGATTGCAAGATTCGTTACCGTGCCCTCTAAAAAAACAATAAATGTAAATACAAAGACGCATGGATCTAAAAATGTCAAGAGAATAGATTAATAAAGAAAGTAATAAATCTCTTGAGAAAGTTTGTTAAGTTTCCCGTCTCTGATTGTACCATGATTATTTTAACATCACAATAGTTGATAGGCTAGCTAGGGTGATGCGAGTTTCCATAGGAAGGTAAAGCAAAATCACGCAATCCTACATTGCTTACAACACACAAGTGAAAATTGTTTTAAAGATGCATACCTTTCATAGCCAATGCCTTTATCGTTTCAGACGTGTTCTTAAATTGCAAAGAGAGCTCTTCGATTGACTTAATCACGACATCCAGTTTCCTTACGACACTTTTGTTAAACGAGTGAGGACTTGTGTACCACGCCTAGAATGTTTTGTTTATTAGAGCCAGTCTTCCTGAAGAAATTAAAAGACATAAACAAAGATCTTTCAATAATAAATGTGTGAGACAAAAAACATATTGATTCATGGTGTGATTTCGAAATGTCAAAAAAGAAAGTTTTTCAAACAAATTTCGATTCTCACGGAATCAAAATGAATTTCATAATGAGATTACCGCTGTTTCCAAGTATCATTTCCAAGTTACAATGCCCTGCGTGATTGTAATTTCACATAATTTACAAAGTGGTATTGAAGGTTATCGACGGAAGGAAAAGATATCTGGGATTTTCCATGAACTGAGATTTTGAAACGCAAGTATATTTAAATGAAATTAAATCAAACTGTCAAATAAACCTTTTACACTTTTAAAAGTCTACTTTCAGAAAACAATACTGAATTTCTCGGGAGGTTCCCCGTGTGTGTTGATAGAAGGTTTGTGTGGAGTACATTCGAAGAAATGCAGCCAAAGATCACCGAGTCATTCGCAAGCAAAGGTTAGATGCGATCGGATTGTGTTACATTACTTCCTTGAACATGCGTTAGATGCGTACTTTCCACTTGCCTGTTGGTAAAATTTTCCTCTTGAAATTGGCGTTTCACATCGTTTCTATATGACCTCTTTTCTGTGAAACCTGTCTTACGCGGCCACCCCCAGCCATTCTTCGTGGGTGACCACCTAATACAGGTTTAACTGTGTAGGAAATTGATGTCATAAGGGAGGATTGGTGACTCAACGTCAACAGCCACAAGTAGGAGGAATGTTCATCATTGGGTCAGACTTGTTTTTCGTTTTGCATCCCTTTGGTTGAGAGAGAGGCCCAAGTTTCCTTCATAGACCAATTACAAACCGCATTAAAGCAAAAGCAATCCAACCCAAGTTGAAAATCAATGTAAATATGCATACCCTTCATTTCCAAAGTAGTCGTCCTTTCAGACATGTTCATAACATTCATGTTTACTAAATCCAGTTTTCTTTCCATATTTGTGTCCAGGAAGTCGAAGTGTTTGGACAAAGCTTCAATGGCTTTGAACATTGATTCCTGGTTATCTGTAGATCATCGCAACAAAAGAAAGAGCTAAAATGGCTGATTACACACGTAGGTTGTACAAAGAAAAATTGTGAAATTCAACCATCAAACCTTTTAGAAAAGGCTTCCGATGGTTTTGTTCACTGTCTTCAGTTTCTTCAAAGACATGAAGATGAGTAATTAAAACAAGAGTGGAAATGCACACGCTTATACACGACTTAATGCATACCTTGCATTTCCAAAGCAGTTGTCCTCTGAGATGCGTTCTTAACATGGACATTTACTAAATCTAGTTTTAAAATATATTAAAGTTCACACGGCAACCAGGTGGACAATCAGACATAGTTTGAAGCTACACTGGTTTGCAGATTTAATGAATGTAACCGAAGAAGTTACAATTCATAGACCCAACGTTTCGACACTCCTGTCTAGTGCCTTCATCAGGGGTGATCTAAACGCAATATGCCCCAAAGTCTGAAAAGGTTTTTGAGCAACTTTGACGTTGTGGCTATTCGATTCTCACCATCCTATTTGCCATAAAAAGTCTGTAGCCAAAACTTTACTTAGGAGGGCTGATTGTCTACCATCATCACTCGATTCGAAGGCTGAGGAGAGGAAATATGTTTCCAATGTCCTAAAGGCAAATGGCTATACAAAAACTTTTCTCCGTAACTGCCAAAAACCAGTTACAAATAGTAACGCTCTTGATGAAAGGGAACCAGCGACTGGTTTTGCTGTTATTCCTTACATACAGGGTGTTACTGAACCCATCAAGAGAATTTTGAATAGCCACAACGTTAAAGTTGCTCAAAAACCTTTTCAGACTTTGGGGCATATTTTCGCCAAACCTAAGGATCCTGTCACGAAAGAACAACGAACCGACGCCATTTATTCTATTCCTTGCAATGACTGTGATAACGAATACATCGGACAGACCAAACGCCAGTTTGGTACACGGTTAAAAGAGCACCAAAAAGCGGTTTTTCTTTGCAAAAAGGAAAATTCAGCTTTATCGGAGCATACTTGCCTAACCAACCATACAATTGGGTGGGATAATTCTAAAATTATCACTACTAATCGGCGTTACCACCAGCGCCTTTGTTTGGAGGCTTGGCACATTAACTCCGCCCACGCTCCTTTAAATCGTGACGATGGCGGTCTGCTTCCTGACGCCTATTTACACCTCGTCAGAAAAAAGGCCGCTAATTAGTGATCGTATAAAAGGACCTCTTGTTGCAGCGTTTAGATCACCCCTGATGAAGGCACTAGACAGGAGTGTCGAAACGTTGGGTCTATGAATTGTAACTTCTTCGGTTACATTCATTAAATCTGCAAACCAGTGTAGCTTCAAACTATGTCAAATCTAGTTTTTTTCCGATATTTACGTCCAATGAGTCAAGACGTTTGGACAATGCTTCAAAGGCTTTGTACATTGAGTCCATCTATGAGATATATGAGAAGGCTGATTACCAGTCAAACTCCAGGAATTTGTTTTTCATACATCTAGAAATGCCTCTTACTACCCGAGTTAAGTTACGGACCGAGTTTTTCTGCTTGGAGCTATAACCCCTTCGAAGCAGGCCGCACAGTGAAATACGACCCGCTAAATTGATCAATAATAGCGCACATACTGAATGAGGAATATGATAAATGTAATATATATTATCCACGAAAGAAGATTGCATATAAGGATCTTTTATCTTTTTTTCCCTAATCGTCTTTCACCATAACTGCACATAAACATCCTTCTTCAAACGTATGTCTTACCTTTCTGTGCCCCGCATAGCCTTTTCCTGATACATAAAGCATAATAAGTATCAATAACAGGACCAGCAAGACAGCCATGGTGAGCAAACAAGCGATTTTCCAGTGTGCAGCTGTTACCCACCCCCTGATAGTCTTCTGTCGCTGTTCTTCATCAATACACAATGGCTGCATTCTGTAACGTAACGTACAAAAATATTATATAGTTTGTATTTTCCTTTCGTTTTAACTTTCAGATCCTTTGAAGTCGTCCGATCTTAACTTCATTTTATAAGCCTTTTATTGGAACGCCCCCTAAAATGTGCGAGGAGTCGTCGCAAATCGTACCTAAATTGTATCTATCTTTGTTTCATAGAACTAAATATTTTACGGAAATTTACGTGCTGAAATCTGTGCGATTTATTCATAAAAATGGGGTGACCGCCTAATAAAGGCGAAAATGACACCAAGGGGCAAACAAAACCATCGGGACTTTGAAAACCGACCACTTAATACAAGGTGACCGCTTAATACGGCGCTGCTTAAAACAGTTCGACTGTCCGTTTTTGTAAGTTATCCACCAATAAGCAGAACTCTTATTGCGGTGGTTCCCTGTACAACTGCTTTTACTTAAATCTGACATCTGTAATTCATAACCTTTTTATTATCTGATGAGCCAGAGGAAAAAGAGGGAGGCTTAAAATGAGTTATCACAGGCTATATTCACAAACTGTTTTATCGTTCAAATCCAACTACAATTAAGATAGAACTATAAAAGCTGTGTCTTTTGCTTCACACCAGTCAGAAAGAAACGAACAGGATTGCTAAGCGGGATATAATTGTGTGATAATAATTTTTTTCTTCTCAGTTCGTGAGCGGGCGGTATTCTACAAATCCTGCAATCTGATTGGTTCCGAGAGCGGGCAGTATTCCCTATCCGGCCCGCTCACAACGGGCGGTTCTTTTCGCAACCATTTGTTAGGTTTTAGAAAATAATAAAAATGTTATTTACCAGCCAAGGTCGGTCCGTATTGAGAAAAACTGTGCCCTCTGTCTTCTGTACCGCCTTTGGCCTACGGCCTCGGACGGTATCCAAGACCTCGGGCACAGTTTTTCCCAATACGGACCTCCCGTCTGGTGAATAACATATATATCGAACACACCACAAAAATCGTAATAAAATATTAAAATTTACTGTTTATGCTTTATAGAGAGAAGTTAATAAAGGTTTATCACATCGCGTGATGAAGGCTGTTTCTTCGATTCGCTTTAGAAGTGACTACATCATGAGGGCATGATTAGTTGCGAAAGGTTTTACGATGAGACAAACAGTGGTGGTTATAGTTTACTGGAAAGCTAATGACAAAGGGCGAGAATGGTTCCCAGGCAAAAGAATATGGTGCTTTTTAGGAACTGCTCGATATTATCATAGTTAGTAGAGGAGACTCGTTGGCAGAGCTCTGAAAATCCCTTGTAGCAGCTGTGTGGTAAAGGCCCCTCGTTACATTTTACAACCGAACGTTCAGGACGTGGTGAAGGCTTGCTGCTTTCATGGCTTTTCTTAGGCATGTTCAGCTTCGGCAAAGCTCCAAATTTGGGCTTCTTTTTGGTCATTTTCGCAGATTGATCTATCAAAGAAAAGATAAAATTGTCAAACTTGGAAATAGTCAAACCTAAAACCATATCCACTTTCAGAACGAACTTCAAACAGCAGCAACACTGATCGGTGAAAACTAACTCGAAGCAAATCCGAAAATTTAACAAGAAAATACAGATATGTACTTACATATTTCGATATCTTCGGGCGCAAAATGTTTCTCACAGGTATATATTCTATCGCTCTTCAACTGTTCCCTGAAGTTCTGATCCATTTCTCTTGTCTTTTTTATCTCACCAAGCCATTCGTCTCGCCATGTTCCATGAGCTTCGTCTTTTGCCAGAGGCAACTTCCAAATACCAATTCCCTTCGTTCTTCTGCACGAACCACAGCCAAATACTGAGCAATTAGCCCCTGGCATAACTTTTATATTTCTTGCAAAACGACAACCATATACTGATGAAAATTACGGAGAAACCTAACACATATCGCACAACTAACAAGAAACTACTCGACGGACGCCATGATCGTTTGATAAATGTGCACTGTCGCGATCACGTGACAAGGAAAAAATCAAAACAAAGACATCGGTCTTTGAAGCTCGCCGACTTTCATAACCAGTCTCCTCTACTGACTATGTTAAAATGCATCAACAGATTTTGAACATGAAAATCTATCACGCCGCCTTATGGTAAGCGCGGATCAAACAAACGCTTTAAAACATTTTGAGCTATTTTGGAATCAATCGAGAATGTACATGAATATCATAATCGACCGGAGGACAAATGAACATCATATCACAGACCATATTAAACTTATTTTCCTTCTCAATATGGCAAGTTTGATCACAATACGAACATTTCGAGGCCCCGATTTTTCTGACTAATTTCTCTAAAATTACCTTTTTTGTATACGTAATAACATGATTTCGAGTGTAGTTTGGTTGAAATAATTTGCAATTTGTAGTCTTTGAAAAATTTTTTCCAAAATTTATTGACACCAAATTGCAAGAAAAATCATGTTATTACTTTTTAATAATGAACTTGGAAAAAAAAACGCAGAAAGTCAAGACCGACGAAATTTTGAAAGCGCACGCGCGCTACTTGTAATTTTCACTCATGTTACAACTTTGCAATCGTGTTACAACTTTGCAGGCGTGTTACACGAGAATGCAATGGTTTTCAGCTAATCAGTGCGTAATTTTTTCTTGCGCATTATTAAATCGATTAAACGCCGCGGCGTTTATTTCATTTTTCGTGTGATTCGAAGTCTCAAATTCTGCACCATTAAAACACATCAACAGAGTTTGGAGATGAAAATCTATCGCACCGCCTCAAAATCAGTAATCAAAACAAACGGTGTTCAAAAAGTTTTTTCCTGTTTAAGAATTGATTCAAAATACATGAATACCGTAATCGACCAAAGAGGCAAAGAATGTTGGGAAGTTAGGGAGAAACTAGCTTAGGCAAACTCGCTGAGCTTATTGGCAATAAGATTCTTGGATCACAAAAGCTTTCGTCTTTGATGTATCATGCCTTGCTGCTACATCGTCTGCGGTATCTTCTCTCTAATTAACTCCAACTGTAACTGTCACTCTATCTTCAACTACTTTCGACTACAACTCCACGTACAACTTATTACTATTAACCAAAAGTTACGCGCCTATATTCTAATTTAGTTATTATCTGATAACCTTAGGAGTTATTATTAGGAAGATATTTCAAAGAGAACACAAAATATTCGCGCAAAGTAACCATCAGAGTATGGCGAAGCTTCTGATCCTCGCTGCTTTCTTTATTTTTCTTGTCCAAACCAGGAGTCAGTTCAGTGGGAACAACTACGAGTCCTCAACAACAGAATCCACAAACTGGCGCTGACAAAGACCCATGTGAGGCACACTTGGCGATTAAAGCTCGATTATTTATTTGAAAAAATCGCGGTTTTCCTATGTTAACATCACGAATCTTTCAGTTGTAAAATCTTTACCACACATGTCTGCCAAGCTAAATGCTATTAAAAGATAAAATTGGCATCTGGCAAGAATTTTCTGTACATGTGTATTAAACTTATTTAAGTGTTGGAAAATGAATGGAAATAATATATCGTCATAAGCCATTCAGTAAAAAAGGCACCATGAATCTTGGATCCCAAAATCTTATTTTATGTAACATGTCTTCCTGCCACAACCCTAACCCTAACTAACTCCCACTAACTACTGTCACCAAACAGATATGCAAAGATATTCTCACTTAATTGTGTTTTCTTAACCTTGACACCACACGTGTGCTCTAGGCGAGTTAGCGGCACATAAGAGTGGAAAAAATAATTTGAAACATTGAAGGTTTGCATTCTAGAGATAAATTCCGTTATCCCAAAAAAAAAAACAGATGTGACGCTGACACTGATGGTCTTGTAGTAAAATGAAACACCTAAAATAGTGGTATTATAGAAACATCAGTTTCGAGAACAAACCAACATGAGACACAAAAATGTCGTTCTTTATTTTAACTTTACAACACAGGTCTGCAATTTGTACCATTAATACACAAAAGCAGATTTTGGAGATGAAAATATATCTCACTGCCTCAATATAAGTATGAATACCGTAATCGACCATAGAACAAATAAACATGATATCAGGCGCTTCAGAGTCCGCAGAAACGCTCTCCTGAACATCTAGGGGCTTGACCGCTTTTATCCTGCCGCAGTTTGTTAATTACAACACTGTTATCTCTGATATTTAAGAACGGGTCAAGCTAACTAATGTTATCATAGGCGTAAGGGTCATTTTTGCCGGGGGGGAGGGGGGGAGGAAAGAGGGAGTGAATCACTTGCCCAAAAAAAATTCTTGCAAGTTGCCTAAATTATTATGAAACAGTCAAAGAGTTCAGATGCCGATTTTGTAAAATTTAAAAAAGCTTTCTTTATTAGGTGTTTCACTGTGGCAGATGTTTCCCAAAGCACAGATTATTTTTACTAAACCGGAGCTCAAGCTCGGTCAGCACCGTCTGGCGTACGGTCTGTTTGGTCACGTCGGCATTTCTCCAACTGCAGATGACATCGACCGTCTTCCCTGAAGATATCGGCACAAATTATAAGTGTTGCTCAGAATTACTCTCAGCACTCACAGTCCGGAGATGAATTTAACTGACTTTACCACGCCTACTTAAACCATAAAATAAAAAAAATATCTTTGAAAGAAAAAGAAGGACGAAACGAAAAATGGAAACTTTTTTAAAAATTAGCTTTGCCAAAATTTCTCTTGCTACCCAAAAGATCTGAGTTGCCCAAAATTTGGGGGAGGGAGGGTTGGCAGCCCCCAGCTCCCCCGGCCTGTACGTTTATGGGTGCTCTATCACCTGTTTCTTCAATCAAACACATTAAAGTTTCAGATAAACTTCATATCAGTCAGACGTCTGGTTAAAGCGTGACTGTGTGTGGTAAAGTCTGCATGATAAGAGAGATCGTGGAAAGATTAAGGTACGGAAATACGCAGAAAATGCAATGAAAAATAAATTAAGCGTTACAGCCAATTTGTCATGTCCATCTCTGAAAGAGACTTTTGAGAAACTAAAAATATCAAAGAACAATTCTGTGCATTAAAACAGGCAGAAAAGTACAAGGTCATCATCAAATTATTTCCTATAACATTCTTATAAAACATATTTTTTCCACTAAGACTGTCTTCTCGGCATATTTTAAAGGATTGTTCATTCAACGAGTTGCAGTCTGACACAACTATTGTAATTATTCATTCCAGCATGATAGCGGCAGACAAGACTGTGTGAAAGGTAATCTGAAGCATTGAAGGCTTACATTCGAGGGATAAATTCCGTTATCCGAAAACAGTGACAGATGTGACCCTAACGCTGATAGAAAACCTTTAAGTCTTGTAGAAATATCGTTTGTAATTTTAACTACACAACACGAGTCTGCAATTTGTACCATTAATACACGAATCGTGATCACCAACAAGGTCTTAAAGGCTGCGCGATGGCGTTTGTCTGAGTGCCCTGGCTTCTCGTAATTCAAACTGAGAATTGTTTAACCACTTCTAATTTTTCAGACCCATTGCTGACACTATCTGTCATACGCTATTGGAACCTTCTTCACTGCGACACTGGCGTAAGGTCTGAATGGTCATGTCGGCATTTCTTCGAGTGGATATGACGTCGACCGTCTTCCCCTGAAGATATCAGCACAGACTACGAGTGTTGCTCAGAATTGCTCTCAACACACAGTCCGGAGATGAATTTAACTGGCTTTACCACGCCGACTAGAGCTCGAAATAAAAAAATAACTCTTTCAAAGAAAAAAAAAGACGAAACGAAACATGGAAACTTTGTAAAATTTTGGTTTCCCCAAGTTTCTCTTGCTGCCCCAAAAATCTGAGTTGCCCAAAATTTGGAGGGGCGTGGGGATGGGGGTGTTGCAGCCCCCCTGCCCCAATGGCACGTACGCCTATGGGTGCTATCACCTGTTTTTTTCAATTAAATAATGGAGTAATAATAATGAGTGGATCCAATATGATGGATGCCGAAATCGAGCTAAGGACAAATGAACGTCATATTTCTTCTCGATATGGCAAGTTTGATCAGAAGAGAAAGATTATGTGGTCAACAATTTTCTGCGTAATTTCTCTGAATCTGAGTGAAACATTGGTCTGTTGGTCAGTACGTGCTTCATTAGTGAAATGATAAGGATATTACACTCAGTTTGTTTACCAGTGTGTGAGTTCGAGTAGTTTCAGACATCCTTAGCATTTAGCTCCAGGCTTCTCTATTAAGATTGTTGTTTTATCAAGAGAACTGAAAGTTTGCATTTAATGAAATTCAGTAGGATATAAATAAGGGTGTACATAATGAGATATATATATTTGAGTTATAGATCACGAACTATTCGCGCAGAGTAACCATCGAAGTATGGCGAAGCTTATGATCCTCGCTGCTTTGTTATTTGTCTCATCCAAAACAGGAATAAGTTCCGGGGGAACAACCACCAGTCCTCAACAACAGATTCCACAAACTGGTGCTGACAAAGACCCATGTGAGGTAATCTTAAGCATGCTTTATCCACGATTATTTTCTACAAAATCAGAAATCCATTTTTGCTCATGGATTTTCTTGGATTCTAGGATCGAGTGGCATACCAGGAATGCCGGGAATTCCTGGCGCCACGGGACCGCAAGGACAAATAGGAAGAGATGGAGCCAAGGGGAACCCTGTGTCAAGGGACCGAGAGGTACGACGGGAGCAAGAGGAGAAAAAGGAAATCCAGGGTCACTTGGTAAAAATAGTGCACCTGGAATGATGGGAGTAAAAGGAAATAAAGATGATGAAGGGTCACGTGGCAGCAGTGGACCGCCAGGAATCAAGGGTGTGAAAGGAGAGCAGGGATCTAAAGGAGAGAAAGGAGAAATCGTGAATAGTGTAGTGTCACAGATCAACTGGAAACAGTTTGTGTGGAAAAATCTGAATGGTAATAGAGATAGTGGAAAGTTTAAG